TGTGTGTGTGTGTGTGTGTGTACGTGTGTGTGCGAGTGTGCGTGCGTTCGAGTGTGCGTGTGTGATTTCGTTTTTTATGATGCTTTTTGTAATTTTGAAAAAAATTCAAACCGTGGTTATCGCGCATTTGCATAACAAATATACATACAGTCATTTGCATATTGCTAGTGATGATGATTGTTATTATGATGGTGATGATGATTATTATAAGAGTAATAACGCTGATGATAATGATGACGAAATTTACATTTTCATCCTATAATATCTTCCACTAATTAACATAATACATTCCATCCCCCGTATAAAATTAACATAATTTATTCACCTCTAACTTGCTCTTTCCCCCCCCCACCACAGTCATCCTATCCCACGTGAAACACACGCTCAACACAGCTTTCATCATAGCAGATCTATTCATATCCTCAACACCGATACGACTGTTGCACTTCATCTATCCCATTTTCGTGGGAGTTATCTACAGCACCTTCTACGTCATCTACTTTTGCAACGGGGGCGTAGGGCCCAGAGGCAAACCCTACGTATACGAAGTTTTGAGGTGGGACGAGAAACCGGGCCTTTCGACCCTTGTCACAATTTTGGTTTTAATGTTGGTTGGGATGGCGCAATTTTTTCTCTACTCTCTTTACAGACTGCGGATGACTTTGTATGAGCACTTCCAGAGTCGGAAGAAGGCAAAAGAAGTTGACGGCTTTGGTGAGGTGTATCAGCAGGTCGGTAATAATAACTGCAGTGGGGTCGAAAGTTGTGGGGCTGGTAAAATTTCGGAATTGGATTCCGAAACTAAGAATGTGGTCTCCAGTACTACGTCCACTAAATCATACCAAACAATATGGCGACAATGAGTTTTAAATTTAATTAATAATGATTAATATTAATTAATTATTTCCGAATGAATAATGCAATAGATTCTACGATATGTAAATTTTTGAATTGTGATTATTTGAATGATTCGTGGGATTCAGTTAAATTTATTTCCTGTATAGTTAATAATATAGTGAACGAACGAACGAACGAATGAATGAATGTATGAATGCATGCATGAATGAATGAATGTACAAATGAATGAATGAACGAATGGATGAGCGACGATGGACAAATGAATGGACACAAGAATGTACGAAAAATTGAACGAATAAAAGATCGAATGATTGAATTGCTAGCATGCATATTTATCATTTATCAATGTAAGTAAATGGAAATATTATTATCAAATCATATTTAATTAACCATATATTATACTATAATTGAAATCATTAAACTAACAAAAGTAAAACTTAGTTAAGGTTGTCAATCGCAAATGCTTTTGTCATATGTCAGCTATTTTAATTGTCAATTATTGTTTTTTTTCTAAGGTATAGCCTTGGTACCCAATATCTTGGCTACCCTCTGGCCTAGCCATAGCGAGAAACAATTTAAGACTTTATTTAATTAATTTATTAACCATTTTATTTTTTTCAACTTTAAGAAAACAAAGAATTTTAAAGCCACTTATCAAATTTAATCAAACATCTATATATTCTGTTCTGATTTCGTTTAACACTTTACCCGGTTTTAATGATTTAGATTATAAAAATTGTGATAAGTTTTGTTGTAATTTGTGTCATATTCAGTAAATAAAACAAGATGTATGCTTAATTTTTTCTCGTTGCTGTATTATTTGAAATGAAAAATCTATCAAAAAATCTTTTATTTAAACCTATCACTTATATTAATCATATTGTGACTTTTCAAACAACTTAATAATATTTTTTTAAAAATTTGTTTTTGTTTTTACAATCACAGCAAATACCTACTTTGTATAGAAACATCGAACTTTTACTTTCATATCTATGGTTGTAAATTTAATTCTATGGATATAGAATATATAGATCTCTTAGACTTCATTGCCAACTTCATTTGACCATTTATCGTTGATTGTTTTAGTTTTGTTTTATTGATTCGGATATACTAATTCGTTCGGAAAACTAGTAAATTACAGGTTTGTATTAATTTTTATTCGTTTTTAAATTCATTTTTTTTATTTATTTTTGTGTTAAAACTGTCCGATTATTTGATTTTTTAAAAATAATTCCAGCTGTTTTCAAACACTAAATTACTAAAACATAAAGATAAAACATTAAAAATTACAAAAACACAAAAATTTACGTAATAAAGATCTGCCATTACACTCAAGATGTCTGACAGTGAGAGTGACCATGATGAAGAAGTTGGTCCCAGCCATCACCACAAATCCCCCAATAATGACTATAGAAAGAGCAATAACAGATTAGTGGATAGTGATGAAGAAGAAAAAGTAGTCGAGGATGAAGATGAAGATGAGTACGATTCTGAGGAGGAAGAGGAGATGGAAGATAAACCCAAGAAGAAAAGGAGGCGCGGGACTGTTTCTGATTTTATTTTGGAAGAAGCTGGTAATCTTTTATTTTAAAAATTATTTTCATTAAAAATCAAACTAAATTAATGTAATTAATAATTAAATTCATTATTAATTTGTCCAACACTCCCTACTAATAAACAATGACCAACAATAATACTTTCACCTCAATTTTACTAACTCTGGAAACTTGAAAAATTTCATAAAACTTTTTAATCTTTATCTACTTTTCAAGAATTAAATTACTAACTATTTCTCCTAACTCTAATTCCAGACGTTGATGACGACGAAGATGAGGATGACATCGGGGATGGCGAATCAGATTTTGAGGAGTACAAAAATGATTTGGCCATGGCAGCCCAAGAGGAAGGACCCAGTGCTAGAGATATTGAGGGAGAGAGAAGGATGAATTGGAGGTTAGTGTAAATAAAATTATATTCAGATTTTACTAAAATTTACTTTTAAATGTTTTTGATTTAATAGTATTTTTAATTATTATTTTCTAAAATTTTACATTTTCTTTTGTTAATTAATTAATTTAATTTATAAAAATGTTTTAAAAAATTATATAACAGAAATGCTGACGAGAAAAATTTGGAAGACTATTTTAAGAAGAAGTACTCTAGCTCGACTGCCTTGGATAAGGCAGTTGACGGAGATCCAATGATCGAAGAAATCACCCAAACTGCACTGCTGCCAACTATTAAGTTAGTGTTTTTGTGTGTGTGTCTGGTGTGTGTGTGTGTGAGCGTCTGTGTGTGAGCGTCTGTGTGTGCGCGTCTGTGTGTGCGTGTCTGTCTGCGCTCATGATTGTATGGGTGTATGTTTGTAGTATGATTGGTACGTTTCTACAACTTTCCTTAATTATAATATGAAAATAGTATGATACGGCATAAAAATAATAACAATAAATAATAAACACCCCCACTCACACTAATCCCTAATCAGAGATGCAAATCTGTGGCTAGTGAAATGTCGACAGGGGGAAGAAAAATCGACCGTACTGCTGCTGATGAGGAAGCTAATCACGTACCAACACACAGACGATCCTATGCATGTGCACTCCGTCATAGCAAAGGAGGGCTTAAAGGGTTTCATATACATCGAGTCCATCAAACAGTCTCATGTTAAGAAACTTATTGAGGGGGTGGGCACCCTGCAGATAGGAAAATATCAGCAGACAGTTAGTTTTTTTTTCATATTTTCTTATTAATTAATTAATAATTAATTATCATAATTTGTTTTCTTTCTTCAATTCCACTACAATTTCTCTCTCACCATCCCAAAATATACTATCGCTTCAAAACTTTAACTTTTGTTATCTCTTCCAACATAGATGGTGAAACGAGAGGAAATGCCGTCCGTACTGCGTGTAACCAAAGAAACGAATAACCTAAAATCGAAGCAGTGGGTCCGACTGAAGAAGGGAGTATTCAAGGATGATCTGGCCATGGTTGACTACGTAGATCCGTCTCAAAATATGGTCTTCCTGAAACTCATACCCAGAATCGACTACAGCAGGAATAGGGGTGTGATGAAAAGTACACAGAATGGAACTGCCGAGAAGAGGAAAATTTATCGAAGGCCGCCACAAAAACCATTCGATCCTGAAGCTATTAGGTTAGACAGACACGCAAAACAAACAAACATACCAGTACATACAAACAAACATACACAAACAAACAGACCCCACGCAAACATTCCAAACCTGGACAAACAGTCATACATACAAACCCCATACAAACAAACATACGCACAAACATACACACAGACATGCAACTTACACGCTCACACATACGCACGCACGCATAAAAACACACAAACAAACACACACACATATACACATTCTTCAGAGCTATTGGAGGTGAAGTAGCAAATGATGGAGACTTCATGATATTTGAAGGTAACAGATACAACAAAGGATTCCTGTACAAAAATTTCAACATCAACGCTATTGTAAGTAGTACCTCTGGGTATATTTTTATTTGTTTTTATCATTAATTATTGATATATTTATTATTATTATTAATATTATGTTATTCACTCTATTGAAATTCCTCAGAGGATTGTTCTGTTCTTAAATGCTTTGTTGTACAAACAACTTTTATAATTAATTTATAGTGCTTACTAATACTTTTAATTCCAGTTTGTATAATTGTTATTTTATAGGAAAATATTTAAATTTAATCAAAAAGTAATTATTATTAATAGCTAGCTTTGAGTTAAGTCTTTAAAAACTGTCCCACATCCTATTTCACTCAATTAACCGTTAAAATTTACATCTTTTATCTGTTTATTCATTAATTATTACAATATATTACGCTAAATTGCGTCTAATTATATTAATGATTAAATAATTATGACTTATATCATCTCTAAATAAATAGATAATAGATGGAGTGACGCCAACGTTGAGTGAACTGGAGAAATTTGATCACCAGCCTGAAGGTTATTACTAATATTTTTATTACTCTTTCTCTCTCTCTTTCTCCATCTCTCTTCTCTATATCTCTCTCTCTCTTTTCTCTCTTTTTTTCTCTCTCTCTCCCTCTCTCTTTCTTCTCTCCTCTCTTTCTTACTCATTCATTGTCATCATCACTACTATTATGATCTCAACTTTTTTTCCATCCCTCTGCAAACAGCTGTGGAAGTGAAATCGCTGACCGAGGCGCAGACGTTCGTCAAGGATGACGTGGTGGAGGTCGTGGAGGGAGCCATGACGGCCATGCAGGGCAAGGTCATCAAGATCGACGGCAAGAGGGTCACCATACAACCGAGCCACGTAGAGTTCAAGGTCAGTTGGTCTTGCTGGTTTGTTTTTTGTGGGGAGTTTTGTGTTTTGTGTGCTTGAGATAAAGAGAGAAAATGAGAAAACGAATGAGTTTGAGTAATGGAGAGGTACATAATGTATTCAGAAAAGAGAGAAAGAGAGAGAGAGGAGAAAGAGGGAGCGAGCAAGCACCATAATAAATCTTTTCACCATGAATTATAAATAAATTTAATATTTATCTTCATCTTTTGCCCCAAAAACGAACAGGCGCCACTGACGTTTGAGTCCTGTGAGCTGAGGAAATACTTCAAAGTTGGAGATCACGTGAAAGTGATGAGGGGGAGTTACGAGGGAGAGACAGGGATGGTGGTGAGGGTGGAGGAGAATCTGGTCATACTGCTGTCTGATACTACCATGTCCGAGGTGGGTCTCTGTTTTTTTTTCTCTTACTTTCTTCGTTTTTCTCTCTTTCTCTCTGTGCTAAGTTATCTCTCTCTTCCTCTCTTGCTTCCTCTGTATTTATTGATTGGTAGATATTAATGTTAAATTTCTCTGACACGCTTTCTTTTTTAAATTCTTGTTTCTTCTCTCTCTCTCTCTTTCTCTCTCTCTCTCTCTCTCTCTTTCTCTCTCTCTCTCTCTCTCTCTCTACTTATCTCTCTTCGTTCTTTTCTTTCTTCGTTCTTTCCTTTTTCTCTCCATTTAGTTAACTGACCAAATTATTTTCACAAAACACAGTTAAAAGTGCTGCCAAAGGATCTGCAGCTTTGCACAGAAGTAGCTTCAGGTGTTGATTCGAAAGGCAAGTTCTCCTTCGACGACCTAGTTGAGATTGAGTAAGTGTTTGATTGATTGGTTGGTTGATTGATTGGTTGGTTGATTGGTTGGTTGATTGATTGGTTGATTGATTGAATGGTTGGTTGGTAGATTGATTGGATGCTTGGTTGGTAGATTGACTGACCGACTGATTGGCCGATTACGTTATCACTGTATATTTCCTCATTAATTTTTTCTTTCCCTTTCTTGTTAGCCCTCAGACTGTTGGAGTCATTGTGAGGATTGAAAAGGATTTCTTTAAAGTTTTGGACATGTATGGCAAGGTAAGATATGTCTTTCATTTATTTCTTCATTCATTTTTTTGTTCGCTCTTTCTATCAATCAACATATCAGCCGAACAATTTATTGAATTTCCATTTACACATTTAACGAACGCAATCAATCTTTCAAGTAGCCATGATTGAATTAAAATTCATTCATTCAATCACTCATTCAATCATTTACTTAATCTTTCACTCATTCATTCATTCATCCATTCATTCACTCAATCTTTCACTCGCTCATTCATTCACTCATTCATTCATTCATAGGAACGACAGCTCAGCTCGACAGCCCTGACCAAAAAGAAGGACAACAAATTCGTGACTGCCCTGGACTCGGAGGACAAGCACATACGGGTCAAAGACATCGTCAAGGTCATCGATGGACCCCATTCGGTTGGCTTTCTTTACTTTTTTTTCTGTAAATTTCCATTCACTACTGATGGCCTCAGATAGTTCGTTTATTTATGTTAGTTGGAAACCTCGTAAAATTAAAACCGCAACAGAGACCAACAGTAAATATAATATTAATAATTAATAATAATAAATAGTTATGATTAATTATATTAAAAAACCCAGGGTAGGCAAGGAGAGATAAGACACTTGTTCAGGAGTTTCGCATTCATCTACTCACGCAAGCACATCGAGACCAGCGGCATATTCGTTTGTAAGACTCGGAACCTCGTTGTTGCCGATGGTTCGAAGGTCGGTGTGCTCCTCTTTCTATGTCTCATTATTTCATTTGGTTCTTGCTGCCACCGCGCTATACAATTTAATCTATAATCTATATATATTGCGCTATATAAATAATTATGGTGATGCGTTCTTGTTTTGGGTTAATTTATATTATTTTTTTTCTTGTTTTGGAGATTTACTGATAAATAAATAAATATATACACACCGCACGCAGACGAGTTCGGCTGGCCCAATAAACGGAGGTATGGGTGGAATGTTTGTCCCTATGTCGCCACGCCTGTCAAGTCCCGCCCATCCAGGCGGTGGCAGTGGTGGGAGAGGTGGTAGAGGTCGCGGGGGTCACAACATGATTGAGAAGAAGAACAAGTCCCTGATTGGTCGCTCCGTAAGAATCATACTGGGTCCTTATAAAAGCTATGTCGGAATTGTCAAGGATACCACTGAGTCGACTGCTCGCGTTGAACTGCACACCAACTGCAAGATAATCAGCGTGGATATCAGTCGCCTGAAAGTTATGGAGTACGTTGTTTGTTTGTTTGTTAGATAAGAATGTTCTTCATCTTCATCTGTCAATCAACCAACTTACCAACCAACCATCCATTCATTCCAACCAACCATCCAACCAACCCACAGAGATGGTGCCCTGGGGTCATTCAGCAGTTACGACAAGACACCGATGACTAGTCAGACCCCCATGCACTCAGGATCTCGCACGCCCATGTATGGATCTCAGACACCGATGATGGATGGCAGTAGGACGCCCCACTATGGAGGCAGTACCCCCCACTACGAGTCGGGGTCGTACACACCCGGAAGATCCAGTGCGTGGGATCCTGGCAATCCTAATACCCCTTCGAGGTTTGTTGTAGCTGTAGTTTTGTTGCAATTTTTCACGGTTTTTTTTTAAGTTTGTTACCTTCATTAAAATAACTTTAAAATATCTTCTACAATCTGCCTCAAACAGGCCAAACGACTTCGACGACATGAGCTATCTAGACGAGTCGGGCCTGCCAGGTCCCTACACCCCACAACCTGGAGGGACTTCATTTTCTCCTTACCCAGGCCAGCCGACTCCCTCACCACTGGACAACAACTCACTTCAGAGTCCTGGACAGTACGATCTAGGCTCCATGTACCAGGGCACTCCCTCACCTATGACGTCGTTCAGCCCTATGACGCCAGGGGCTCCTTTCACCCCCTCAACTCCGGGACTTGATGGCGCCGCGGGTTCTGATTGGGTGTCTCTGGATCTTTTTGTCAAGATCAAGGAGAGTCATGACGATAAAGATGTCATCGGAAAAGTTGGGATCGTCAAGAGCATCAATGTTAGTGTCGGTTTTCATCCGCGCGTGTGCGTGTGTATTTGTGTGCGTGCGTGTATGTGTGTGCGTATTTTACAAACGGCATCACATTTCATTGCATACACTACGTCACGTAATGACGTCATATTTATTGTATTGTTTCACTGCAGGGTGACATGTGTGCGCTGTTGATCACAGAGAAAGAGAAAACGGCCACAGAGAAAGAGAAAATGGCCACAGAGAAAGAGAAAATGGCCACAGAGAAAGAGGAAATGGCCACAGAGAAAGAGGAAATGGCCACAGAGAAAGAGGAAATGGCCACAGAGAAAGAGAAAATGGCCAACGTGAATGTGGACGACCTGGAACCTGAGCCACCGGGAAAATCAGATAGGGTCAGTCTTTGGTCATGTCGTTTTATGATTATGTTGTTGTTGATGATGTTGTTGTTGATGATGTTGGTGCTGATGATGTTGTTGATGTTGGTGGTAATGTTGCTCTTTCGCACTGTTGTTATTAGTTGCTGTTATTAATTTTGTTGATGTATTCATTAATAATAATAACCACATTTGATCAATCAGTCAACCAAATAATCGCACGCACACATACACGCACGCACACATACACACGCGCACACACAGGTCAAGGTCATCAGAGGGGATGTGAATAAAGACCTGACAGGAACACTACTCAGCATCGACCAGAACGACGGGATCGTAAAACTGGACGTTGGGAAGATGGCCATGGTCCAGTTGTCCTGTCTTTGTAAATCATCATGATGATGATGATGGTGGTGGTCAAGATGATGATAATGATAATAATAACGATGATGATGATGAGGTTTTGAACGAAAATGATAATTACTGGTCGATAATGACATACGAATGTCTGATTAATTGATTGATTGATTGATTGATTGGATAGACTATTTGATTGGTCGAATGATTGAAATCGTTCTTACCATCACTTGTTTAATGAAGAACTTCAATCATCATTCTAGAAACTGAGAAAAGATTTCGATTGAACGTTATTGATGATAATTTACAATATTATTCGTATTATTGTTAATATATTTTTATTATTTTATTATTATTATTATGTTACGAGTGCTTTTAATTTAGTAACTGGACTTAATTTATGTTTTGTTTCTTTTTAAAATAATGATAGAAATATAGAAATTCTTTATTTTCATTTATTTATTAAAATATGAAAAATGATATCGCTATATATAAACTTGTGTTTCCCTATGTACCTATTTTGTCTCTGTCTGTCTGACTCTTTGTTTGTCTGTCTTTTTGTCAGTCTGTCTCTGTCAGTCTTTCTCTGTTTGTCTGCCTGTCTCTATATATCTATCCATTTATTATTTATCATCATTAACAACAGATTAATCTATCCATTTATATTTTCCATAATTTGTATCATTTATAAAGGAAAAAAACCACATAAATGATAATACAAAGTAATAATAATAAAATAATAATAATAACTAATAATTATAATAATAACTAATAATCATGATCCCTAGTTAGAAATTTACACGAAATTAAGAGGTGGTAAAGTGATAATAATCATAATAATAACGATAATAATTAAAGAAATAGATACAAAAGAGGAATTGAAGTCTAAAAAGTTACATTTACCTCTCTCTCTCACTCTCTCTCTCGCTATATATATATATATATATATATATATATATATATATATATATATATATATATATATATATATATATATTAAACATTAA